CCGGGAGGGGGCGGGGGCCCCGGCGCGTCCTCGGATCGTGCACCCTTCCCGCCCCCTTCTTACGCACTAGCGCGCACTCGCCCTGAATATTGGAGACCAGGAGGGGTCCAGCAACCCCGCTGCCAAGTTTTGTGCACTGTTAGATTGCATGTTTGAGCTTGAAAATAAAAAGAAAAAATTGTTCCCTTTAGGGTATTTATTTTCTTGGCTCTTGAGAAGTAACGGAGTCCGTTGTTTCCAAATTTCTAGGGACATGCCTGTCAGATGTGCAGAGGGTTGGCAGCTTCTTGGTTTTTAAAAAGATGTTATTAGGAAATCCCCGCACTAGTGAGATAATTGAAATTTGAGTTTGTTTGCAGCTTCAGTTTTATTTGATCCAATTAAAAATGCATAAGCAGTCACTTTATATTTGTGTACATAGAGTATTCCTAGTTTTAGTTATGACTAATATGACTGTGGTTTCACTACTGTGGGATCTAATAAGGCAGTATAATTCAATTTTGAGCTTGTAGGCCCGTGTTCTCCAAATTAGGGTTTATGGACCATTAGTAATCTGGCCAAGGTTTCTAGTGACTCCATGGCATCTCTGAGCATCTATCTCTGGGGCTGTGTGTGCTTTATTTTCCACCCCTTGAAAACTGTTAATTTCTGGTGTAACAGATCCATGAATAGAGAAAAATATATTTTAAATATTTGCAATTTTCAGGGTGTCCAGAATATCTTGCCATAGATTTGATTATTGTTTACCAAATGGTATATAAGAATACCATCCCTCTAGGCCCTGAAATTTCGATAGATTTCATGGGACCTGCATATAACATTTGGAAAAGTGTGAACAGAGACCACTCTGCTGTGTTCCCAAGGCTAATTGTGAGCATTTTGACTTCCTGGGAGTCTGTCCCATCATTGGGTATGGCCCTGTAGTTTTACTGGAAGCCAGATTGGAAGATCGGATTGGCAACCTCAGAGAGAGGTTTTGTGAAACTTGTGGCTTTCTGGCAGGAGAAAGAAAGCTTGAGATTTGTGTATGATAAAATGATTAGACATGAATTGTCAAGTAACATGGTTTGTGCCAACCAAAGCAGGTGGTTTCATGTAAGCAATGCAACACTTTA